CCCCTAAAAAAGAACAAACTGAAAAAAAGTTCAAAAACTGTGAGTGGTAAACTTGACAAAAAAAGCATTTCTTGTTGCTCTTTTCTTATTATTCATATTGTTTTCCTATTCAGCCATGATTCCGATGGCACAATATCTGTACCACAGATTGTGTATAATATATATATATATATTATTTATTCATACTCTAGTCATTAAAATGTCTTCTTCAACCAGCACACTTCAGGTGTTAATATTTCTTCCTGTTTGCTAAGAATGACGGGTAAAACTAAATTAATGGTTTGTGTTTACTACAGCCCGTCCTCAACACGCATAAAACAGAAAGAGCTTAGTGAGCTACTAAAACATGCTGTAACTTTAGCGCCAAACTTTGCAGTAGTTAGTGACCTTAACCTACTACATTCCAGTTGTTATCAAGCGCCCAACAGAGCAGATTGTTTGAAGGGGACATTGCACAGTGAATGCAAGACGTCGCGGAAATGAACTGTCTTTACTAAATGTTGTAAGCATTAAACAAGGTCGGCTGTCAACCACTACCGTAGAAGCTTCCGTCAGTAAGTTCTATCACTTTGTTGCTTACCTCTTCAATAAGTTGCCGAAGTGAGCAGCTGAACATCAATGGACGCGGAATGCAAGCCAGATTAATAACAAGCTTTTAAGGGTAGAGAAATGCTCAAGCCTTGGGTCCAAGAAAAGGAAGTGAAGACTGTATAACTGAGGTTGCACACAACCAACAGCTTTTGTAAAAAGTTTCTCCCTTGCAGCTAATGCACTACTCGGAGAAGCATCGTTAACGGCATCGAAGAATTAATACAACGTGCAATTAACCTGCTGATCAATGGAAAAGTTTCAGTAAGTTCAGTAGGTCTTGCAGGTGGTTGAGGTACAAAGAATCGCACAAGTTAATCGTCAGATTGCAGAGACAGGCCACTACTGGCAAATGCTTAGGCTATTGCATAGTACAAATGAGAAGATAAAACGCCTCTACAGCTATTTACAGCCGTACTCGTCCATATGAATGTTGCTGGCACTTTAGTCGCAGAAGATGATTTGCAGGTTAGATAAAATTTCGATAAGGCACAGGACTTGCTGCTCTTTGTCCAGAAAGTTTATCTAATTGACAGCGGGTATTCAATCATGTAGTAGGCACATTGCGTAAGCTTGGAAGAAACAGTGTAAATCGTACAATTGGCTTTAGATGTTCCACCTTTCCTGATAGACTTAAACCACTGCAAGTCACCTGGCTATGATGAGGTGCATCCAGTTATTGACAAGCCAATTGCTGATAGTATCCGACTTCCATTTCTTAAACTATTCAACGTTTCATCCTGAGGGAAGGATACTGCCGGATTGGAAGGAGACAGTTTCAGTGACAATCCATAAAGCAGGTCATAAATCATTGCCTAATTATTATAGGCCTGTTAGTTTGACCAGAGTAATTTTGAAGGGTCTGGTAAAGCTTATTAGAGACCGAATTGGTAAGCATCAAACTGTCCACAACGTGATTGTAGAACCTCATTACTTTGTCAGTAAAAAGTATGCCTTTCCAAACCACTGGGTTTCCTCACTGTAATAATTTAATGTCTTGATGAAAATAGTTCGGTAAACATATGTTATCACGACTTCAGTAAACGTTTTGTTTTGGTGGATCACTGCTTTGCAGCTCCGTTCTATCAAACACCCGGCTTTGTTGGCTAGTCCCATGTTCCGCATGCTATCCCACCGACTCTTGTGACCTGCTTTGTTTACGCGGCGGAGTTATAAGTAAAAGAATAGGAGAGGTGCCCAGGCAGTGACTTGGGCAAGCGGAATGATGGCCCTTATTTAGATGCTGGTCTCGGTTGAAACCTCTCGGCTCCGTGGTTGGGGTTCAAAAAGCGGTGCACAAGTTTGGCTGGATACGCTAATTGCCATGCGAAGGAGCCGATCTCAATAGCATTCGTGTTATCAGTTTCTTTGTCCCTCACTCTCCCGCTTGGCTTATCCCTACAAACATGATCTGATTTACTAAGTATGGAGTAATTCTTTCTCGGGCACAGTGGGCGTGTGGTAGCTAACCGGAACGATGTCTGGCCGTTGCAGATGACTCAACTGTTGTGCCACTATTGCGTCCTATGTTATTTTCTTACTTAGTGGGAAGCAACAGCTGAGCCGTTTTCCGCTTCTGGCTAACGGATGTAATGATAGTGATGATTATGAATCACCGCCTCCTGTTAGAAAGGATGAGCTTTTCTGGCCAGTCCGTAGCGGTATTTTGGCATTCTGCATTCCCGTACGGTAGGATATTTTGTGTTATGGTTAGCGATGGTGCATGGAGAAAAAATACAGCACATGATGAGGCTCTCCAAGGTTCGGTACTCCGTGGGTTGCTGTTGATTACAATTATAAATGACTTAGTCCCTTTACTTGAGGACAGGTGCTATAATTTTGCTAATGAATTCAAGCACCAAGGATACATTATCTAAAGATTCGGCTACTGTTATTAAATGGTCATACTCATGTACTTTGCCTTTGTACCCAAGAACATGCCAAATCTTGATGAAAGTGTTTTAATGCATGCATCCGTCGGGTGTTTGATGCTGCAACAGTTTACCGAAGCACGCAATCTTAGCATAATCGTGATGCATAAATTCAATTTGCAGGCGCAGTGTACCAACGCTGCTAACAACACACGAGGAGAGTTATTAGACTATGGAAAGCTATGAGTTTTACCAGGCCAAAGATCACTCTTACTTTGTAAAAGGCAATGCTCAACTCACATTTGGAATCCCGCCTTTCGGCTTGAAAACCTACAGGAGGTGGGATATCTTTTGTATTGACAATGTGCAGAGATTGGGTAATCAAATGTCAAAAGGTCTGCTTAGGTTTTCTTATAACGGTGGGTTGGTACGCTTAGGATTCTATTCAAAGAGGAGACGCAGATTGTTAGAGGAATTGATAAGAACACTAAAATCCTGTGGGGGCTCAGTTGTCTCAGATTCAATGATATCTTTAAACCAGCCAAAGCGGACCCCTTACAGGGTCATTGATTAAAGTTGCAAAAACAGCAATGATCTAGACTCAACATGCCAGCTCCGATGTTGGCTGGCTGGAATAAACTTCCTTCCGCATTACTGAAACGTCAGATGAAAGAAGCATTCAAGTGATGCATGAACAACAGTGGTTGACGCTGTCCCCCGATTCCCTCTAACCAAGTGTTAGCAGCCAATGTTACTTTGTAAAATGGTCATGGTTTTTGTTCTTTCTCCTTTCTTTCTGAACTAAAAACGAAATAATTTACTATTAATTCAAAGTTCTGGGGGCGTTTTTTGCTTATTCACACACGAACCAATATCTTTGTTAAGAAAATTCTTCTTTAGTCCCTGCGTCTTGTCTTGTTCTGTCTACCAGTCAATGCCAGTGTGGCCACCCTGCCAGCACAGTCAAACTATCGAGCGTCCGCTGAGACCAGGAATCGGACTGACAGCGGACTCTCAAAAATTTGCAGCAACTTTAATGTAATACCTTGTTGCTTCTTACAGTATATGGCTTGTAATCTTCAACGAAAAATAATTGAGTACGATAATTCGTTATACATGCCATGAACTCGATTGCCCAGCAATACGTCGTCGGATTTTCTCGAGTCCATTGACTGCTCGTTTTGGGTTGTGAACGGACATTCGAGAATCTGTGAATACTTCACTGCAATACCAGACGTTGGATATACAGCAAGCTTCTCAGTGTGGGCTTTCTTCCTGTAAAATGATTATTTACTGAACTGAATACGTAGATTTTCCAGGTTTTAACAAATGTGCGTGCATTAGTTCTGGTGCCACAAACAAGGCCGCAGGTGGGGCTAGGTTAATAGGAAATATAGGGCAACGCGAATTAGCATATATTTCCTATTATCTTAGCTTCACCTGAGGAGGAATAAGCGACGTGCTGCAAAAAGTTTACTTACAGTCCTTTGTCAGTCTGAAGAATGTTCAAGTTAAACTTGTTTTGGACTATCAGCGTACTTTCGGGGATTCAAGGCTGCTTGTCGGGGGTTTGAAGGCTGCTTCGGGGGTTTCGACTGATGTACTTTATGCGCCGCACTTTTGGAATCCCAGCGGCCAGTTTGTTTGGGAAGCTGTTCTTGGCATTCGTCCGACCCCACCTAGAATCGTGTATACAAACTTGTCCACCATGTCTTATCCAAGACAAAATGGACTTGGAGTAGGTGTTACAAGTGGGCACTCGGTTAGTGCATCGTCTACAAGGCAGACGTATCCTGAACGCCTGCTTAGGTTGAGGATTACTCAATGCGCTATCGAAGGATAAGAGGGGACATGCTTCTTACTTAGCATATTTTGACGGATAAGAGCGGGCAGAACTTGTCAGGGTTATTTAGTCCCGTTACGTTATCTAATCTCCGCGGTCATCCACTGAAACTGCATAAACCACGGTTTGATAGTATTAGGACGGCCCGAGTTATAGAGCGCTGAAATTGGCTTCTCGATCACGTGGTTATGGAACTTACGGTTAACGGTTTTGCGAATCAGCTCGATGCTCCTGGGTGGTAACACCAAACCATTCCTTTTTACTAACTGACGCACCTTCACTTTTCAGTTCTTTTTTATGAACTCTAATATCTTGATATTCTACTTGCTTAGCTATTTCAACTTCTTTTTGCCTTCTTAGTTTACTTTTCCATCTTTCTTACTTTACATAACCGGCCCAGCAGGGACTGCTTGGGTAGGATACTTGGGCATTAATTGGTTGGACAGGGTGTTAGGCCGTCCTTGTTTTAGGTCTATCAGTATTCCAAAATCTGCCAACACTTGATTCAACGACCCGCTAAAGAAAGAACACTCACGGGATAACCCTACCGTTCCAGTTCTGATTGAAATTGAACTTGAACTTGTCGGCGGCAGGGATGCAATAACTGGCGGAAAGCACAACTCAGTTAGGGTACATTAAAAAATAACACCGTACTAAGCTCAACTAATCAACTTGTTACAGTAGCACTATCTTCTTACCTGGTGATAACTGCAATGGGCTATGGGATCCAGTGAGATAAGGCTCGTCGTTGCTGACTATTAGTTGTAAGATGATTATTAACATCCCGGTCGTAATTATTAACAGAATAAGCAGAAATATAGCATAGAAGGTCCAGAACTTCACTGAAAATAAATGTTACCAATTTATAGGTCGTACCCCATCCAACGAAATCTCTCCCAGTAATATTTTTGGCGCAGCCGTCATCAGTCCAGATTACACTGTCATACCAGGGAGTAACTGTTTGCTTAGGCTTGCATAAACCTTCCTTTATTAGTGTAACCTTGGCTTCATCTTCAAAGCCAAACATCGCAAAATAAAATGTTCCGTAAAGCAAAAATTAAATCACCGCTATTTACTTACTGAGCCTACTACACAGTAAAACGAACGAATGATAACACTTACTGCAGCAGTACATGATTGTTAGCTATCCATTTTGTGCGGAATAAAAATTAAACTAAGATCGGTTACCTCTTGCTTCCTAAGCAAATGTATATTTACTTAATTCTACGGTAGGCGGTGATGTTTGCAGCCTTGGTTTGGATGGTAGTGTTACGCTTGTCTGCCCGTAGCTTCGAGCTCGCGAGTGGCTGTTACAGGGTCATTGTAAGAACCGACGTTCAATCTTGAACAATGCAGTCTTTTTCATTAGATTCCTTCACTGTGGACACTGATATAAGGGAAAAAAAGAACAAAGCCGGGTTAAATTTGAGATGCGTATAGTTATGATAGCTTAACCAACACGGGTTGCTTGGCGTTATTGTTACTTATCGGCAAGTATTTTAATAATACTGCACAATTTCGATTACTCGTTTTGATCATAAACCCCCGTCCGCAGATCCCTCGATGGCTGTTGGCTGTACGTCTATTCAACGAGACTGCGAAGTATACTATGGATCTAACTGGGAGTTCGCATACACTTTCCATACTACTGAGCATTGCTCTGGCGACATACAACGGTCCTTATCCTGCAAAGGGGAAAAATTATACAGCAAGACATGTAGGTTTGTACCTAACACAGACACGATACGTAATATCGCTAAGAGTATAAGGTCTATTGCATGGCCATGTGCCATTGCCCGACACCTCTCACTGGCTCAGCAATGGTAACCGCATTCCGTGGCGCCGAATTTTGGCTAACTTGACCGCGGAAAGGTAATATTTTAGTGTTTAATAATTAAGCGAAAGAATTTTTGACCAAAGCCGGCCTTAGTAACAATGTATAAAACGGCACAAAGCGCAGGTTTTATGATTTCCTTTCGGTGTATCTTTGGATGGACCTTGTGAAAGTTAACTTTGCCACGCAATTCACAAGCTGAAGTCCGACGCTAGCTAACGCTGAATTTCCACCAACTACTTGTTTACTCACTCTAGGCCCCACCTTTACTTGCCCCTCGACACAAATACTATGTAATTCGCAAGATAATAACATGATTTAATTCCTGACTCTTACCACCAATCCACTCACCCAGTATATGTGTCACGGTTACATGCCAACCGACATGCCTATAGTGTGACTAGCAAGCCGCATGCCGCGATCTCAGTCTGTTTGACCGAAGCAGATTCCTGCCCCAATTGATGAGCTCTGGCTTACCGATTATCCCTTATGCGAACTCACATCAAAACTGCCATGAGTTCACTTCCGCTCGCCCTGTGGAGACCGTACTCTCACACTGTGTATCCCATACAGACCACCCCACCCACACACGCGTTGCGTCATCCACCCGCCTCATGCGTGCGCGCCTACATGCTTTTCCCACCTCCTGTTTGACTAAACAAAGCCTCCTCAAGTGTCCAGCCCATCGCGTTATGTTTCCCACACTGTATATCGACCAAAGGAACTAAGGTCTAACGGATCTAATAAAATAAATTTTACAGTTCGATTGTGGACCCGGTATCGGGAGACTCTTTATGTACGGTGGCAAGTACCGTTTGCATTACTTTTGGACATCGTGTAGGCCGGTTGTTTCGGAACCAGTCGGGCATTTGCCGAGGTGTGTACGTATAGTATTTTGATTACTATTTGCCTATTACCGTATTTGACTTCTCGGATTCCTTTGCTGCTTGGACTTGGAGTTTTTACCCCTCACTTAAGTCCCTAAGCGCTTTTAGCGTTTGCTGCGTTGTCTGCGCTCTCTTACCTTTACCTGTTATTTAGACCTTAAGAGTATACCTTTACCTGTCAGCCCTACTGTGGAGAAAGCCTTACTGAGTTACCAGCTATATTTTATGTTGTTCACTATGAACTACCTGTAACTCCGTCAGGTGTTTTCCTGTATTAAGCATGATAGCGTAGAATACTTTCACAGGCTTGGTTTACATGAACTGTATTGTTGTCTCCCAGGCAACTGCGTCGAAATCACCGCTATTGAACAAATAAATGGTATATTTCTCGAAAGGCCGTGATATGGGAATGAAGAGCCTCGATCATAAATATGCAGAAGTACAGTAAAAGCAAATAACTGTAAAGCGGACTAGACTTTAAGACGAAACAATGTTCCACACATTACGCAAGCTTTGTAGAGACTTATTGTTCGCTGGTCATCAAGGTCACGTAAATATTGCAGGACATGAATTCAACTGTTACATGAACTCGAGTTGTCAGCAAACACGGGGTCGCTTGGGATGCCAACGTCTAAATCATATGACTTCTTTTCTCTTGTTTGGGAAATGGTTGATCGGAATTCCATATTTGTTCCGATAACGGATTGTCCCATCCAATGGTAAATCGCAGTTTTCTCCGTCGTTTGCTTTAGTCCAATCATAGAATACGGGGATTTCCAAGTAAAAATGAAAACAGAACAGTGGAACACTATTAGAGTCTAGCACGTGCTCGAATTACAATGCAATAAACGAATAGAAAATATTCGATCATTATGATATTTTTATCAACTGCCTTTTTAGCTCGCTTTAGCGCCATATCAAAGTATTTTGACCTAAAACCATTAAACGTTCTGCTGTCAAAAAGTCTTTCTTATCATAAGGAAATAGTAGGAATTGTGTTCCCTCCTTTCTAGGGCGTCTTCCTTGCATACGCAAAATACTTCGTCACAAGTAAACATACATGTGTTCAGTATTGCCAGCCTGTTAGTTATAACCTACACAGTTTCGCTAATTTGTTTTAGCTATTATTTGCTTTACTAGATATGTATAGTTTGATTTCTATTTTGGTCTGTCGTAGATGCAGACCCTGTTTAATATATATGCCCACCTAGCACACCCATTTGACTTTAAAATCATTGACGTCAATTTCGTTCCCATAAGCTACCTTTACAAAATCGCTCAAATATCATACATTTTTCCTCAAGTGCCATGCGGTAAGCTTACTCGTTTTTGGACCATTTGTACTGTTGAATCATGCAGAAGTCCTCTGGAAAGCGCTCAGAAATCCTTCGCAAATCGTTCGGAAATGCTCTGGAAACCGTTCGGAAACCCCATAAATCATTCAAAAACGCTCCGGAAATCGTTCGGAAATCCTCAAGAAAACATTAGGAACTCCTATGCAAATCGTGAGAAACCCATGCGTTGAGAGAGAAGGCTGCGTCGGTAGCCGTTATGGATTCAAACTCAAAAGCTTACCACATGCTGGAACAGGATTAACCATGCTGAAAATAAACAAATGTATGTAGAAGATTACAATCATGATAGTTTAAGCGGACATCTGGCCTCCATGCTTCTCTTTAGATCCACAATTGATACTAGCTGTATGGAAGTATGAGTAGACAGTATACGTCACTGCTTACATCACCCGGACTCATATTCGAGCAAGCTCAACCCTTAGAATTAGAGTTGTTAATGCCCCACCAATGCAGACCCAAATGGATTTCACGCCTCGAAGCATTTTGCTAACTTTTGTTAACATTTCCTATGCTCATTTCTTTAACATTATTGTCAGGTGCCTCTAGCTCACTGGTGTCGCAGACATACATATAATAAAGCGGCTCTAAGAGATAGTACTTACGATATTTACCTATGAAAAGTGTGCCTTTTTCAGGCCAACTCGTGTCAAATGATCCTAAGGTCCACCTGTATTATTCAGGTAGACGTAGCTCATGCTGCCTTGATATAAACTTGGCAAACACCTAGAGGCTGAAAATACAATAAACTTTATATTCCTAGTGGTTTATGTGACGCATTGTCCAGCAAAAATGGGACTTTGAGGCCTTTTGACCGTGGGTAATTTATACGTTATCCTGAAGTCCCTTGCATATCTATCATTCCTTTGTGGACTCCTGGTGTTTTCGCAAAATGTTAGCGCTTATTTGCCTATATTTGCAAAGTAGGCCTGCAAAAATTGCTTTTCGGCCACCTACGTCGCACCTAGATGTTGCCGGGTATTACGGGCTATATAGAGACTTTCTAGATAGCTCTGCCTATTTTAAACTTATACCGCTTTGCCACTTTTACATTTTTTCTTTTTCTGATATCCCCTTTCAAGCCAAATGCCATTTTTAGCGAAATGATTAATGGCGTTATTTGTAGACCATCGTTCAATTGCGAATAACTCGTGAAATACTGCAGGTATTGCAGTGCTTTTACTTTCACGGGTTTCATGGGTTTGCGCAGAACGCGTAAGCGTAGCTTTTCGGTGGTTCTGCCTCGGGATCTTACGGCAAGGTCCTGTTCTCGTCGGTAGGTACCAGATGTTGTGGGTCTCGACGCAGTAGTGGTGTTCAGCACAAGAATTCAGCGAGTTGACTGTGGGAACGTGGATACCTGGAACAAGAGAGTGGTGTAGGTAAATTCGGCAAAGTTGGATAGAAGCAAAATGATAGAAGCGTCGCGTGTTAGCTTGGCAAATGGCCAGATCTTAGCAACGTGGAAGACCAGCGAGATAAGAGCCAAGCGTCTAGGCGCTGTTTGAAGGCCTCCGTATTGGGCGCTGAGACAACAACTTCAGGGAGGGCGTTCCAAGCGAAGGCAATACGCACACTGAAACTGTTTCTTTGGCACAGAAGGCGACTGTTACGAGTCATCAGTTTGAGTGAGTGCCCTCGAAGATGATCTGTACGGGCGCGGGCCAGCAATCCTGCGTTTGGGTGCCTGTTATTAGTCAGAACGGAATAAGCTAAGATAAGATCGCCACGAAGCCTGCGATATTTCAACGGGAAGAGGTTAAGGGCCGCCAGACGCTCCTCATACGAGAAGTGGGATAGTCCGTCCACTCTCTTAGTGGCTCTGCGCTGTACAGTTTCCAGCATGGCCTCGTCCTTCTTCAGGTACGGCGGCTGGACAAGCATGTTGTACTCCAGCAGCGGACGTACTAAAGTGCTATAGAGACGGACAAATGTCTCTCTAGGGAAAGACCCTAGTGCAAGTCCAAGGAGGGCCAGGCGAACGCTAGCCTTTTGCGCCAGTGTGGCTACA